GCTCTGCCCTGGAGTCGACATCCTCAGAAGCTTTGCTTTCTCAGCTGGTTGCCTCTGTTGCGGACACTACATTGGTCAGGTATGTGCAGAGCTGCCTGCAATATTTCGCTTTACTGCAGGATCTGGGTTTCGATGCAGCTCGGATCTCCCAGGTGCAAGCCTATGATGTGCTAATACAGCTTTACAGGTCCCCTGAAGATGAGGAAGCAGTCCCTACTTCCTGCTTTCCCCTCAATACGTTGAAGGCTCTGAGGTGGATGGTCAAGGTGGCCACTGTTTCATTCCCGGATCTTTACACAGGGCTTTTCCACTCAGTGGCTCACCAACGTAATGAGGCAGATCGTCGAGAGTCAGTGCCTTTGCCACTGGATTTTGTTGCTTATCTGGAGTTTTGCTTGCTTTCAAAGGCTTTTCCTGATCTGCAATTGAACATCGGAGCACTCCTTGTGATGATCTGGGGTTCTCTGCGGTTCAGTGATGCTATGCACGTGAAGTGGGGATCTTTGCTCTATGAACAAGAGGTGGGCCGAGGAATTTCTTTCCGGACCAAGACCTCGGTGCGTGGTGCTCCTTTTGGGGTAGTGGGAGTAGGCCTGATCGGCCCATGGTTCCCGCTATGGCTTGCTTTACTGAAAAATGAATGGTGTCGTATTGGGAACGTGGCGGGCCCTGTGGAACCAGATGCGTTACTTTTCCATGCGAGCGATGACGAGCTGTTCGTTCCCATGACATATGGGGAGGGCCTTGCTACTTTACGTCACCTTTTATCGCAGTGGAACAAGCTTTCGGGTGCTCAGGTGCAAAATTTTACGTTGCATAGCTGTAAAACCACGCTGTTATCCTGGGCAAACCAACTTTGCATCAGCGAAGATCGGCGCGCTGTGCAAGGCCACCATAGGCATAGCAGCGCACGACTCTACAGCAGGGACGATGTTTTCGGTGCGTTAACTTTACAACATGAACTTTTGCGCGCGATTCGTCAAGGATGGCGGCCAATGTGTCCTCAACATCGGGGTGGACAAGTTCCTTTACACGAACCGGAGCTTGAAGCACGATCTGCTTCCTTTGCGGAGCCCTGCTTTGCCATCCCAGGGGGACCGCCAGTGCTCGAGCATTCTGCTCAACTTTGCTCCACCATCGATTTGGATGCAGATCTGACAGGTACTACTTTGCCTTCGGCCTCGGACCCTGGTGAAGTTGTGGCCCCAGCGAAGACAGCCACTCTTCCTTTGCACTCGTCAGGTGAGCCAGGATCCCCCGATGAGCTCCTTTTCATCATCACTGCCAAGACTATTCACAAGGCAGTGGTTTGCTCCGAGCTCGATCGTTGCACTACTTTCCAAGGTGTGCACCTGAAACCCGCCTGTGGCTGTATAGTCAGTGTCTTCCAAGTGGTGCACTTTGCAACCACAGGCAAGAAGCTTTGCAGACATAAGGCATGCTTGGAGCTTTGAGTTTTGGAGAAAACCTGTGTCAGGCGCAGGCAGGAATGGCATGTGAGTGCAGTTCATGTGCATTCTTCTTTGCTGTTTCGGTCAGCCTCGCACGTCACAGCCTCGGCTCGCTTCCAGCTTTAGCGTATCGGCGTTTCGGGGGATTCCCGACTACTTTGCGTACAAGGCCCTCTTGCACAACTTGTGTGACGGGTCAGCTTTTGTGCAAGGGTGATGGTACAGTACATGTTTAGTACTGCAGTGCTTTGCGTGATTCCCGCGTCCATTCGGCGGCAGATGCGCGCCGCTTAAGGTGCTACATCTTGCTTTGCGTCAACATTAGCGTCCTAATGTGCGTCAAATTCGGCTTTGCGTCTTGCTTGCGTCCTAATGTGCGCCTAATGTGCGCTAAATGCGTCATTTGCGTCAGCTTTGCGTCAGCTTTGCGTCCTAATGTGCGCCAATGGTATCTGTTGCGTTGCTTTTTGCGTCCTAATGGGCGCAAAATTGCGTCCTAATGCGCGCCATTTGTGCGCTAATTGCATTCGGAGTGCGTGCGATGCGTCGTCCTCTGCGTTATAACGGTTATCAAATCCAGCCGAATTCGCGTCACACTCAGTCAGCTTTGCGTGCTTATCAGTGTGGTCACGTGCCAACTTTGAGATTCAGCTTTGCATTCAATAGCATGTTCTCTCACGTGAAGCTTCATGTTGCCGCGCAGAGCTTTGCCCGAGACTTTGCGCGCGTTCCCTTCGCAAACTTCCGCTTTACTTTGCGTCATGGCACAGAGTGACTACTTTCCGGAGAACTTTTCGGAGCTCTCGGCTTGGGATCTCTGGGATGCCTCGGAACGTTTTGCAGGGCGGGACGGTTATTCCCGTGAGCAGTGGTTCAGCTTCTGGCGTTCAGCTTTGCAAGATCGAGTGGATGCTTCGACCCAGGATCTCGGTTCTACTTTGCCTTGCACTACCACGGCGGAGCCAGCACCCTCGGACGAACTTGATGGGGCTACTACAGAGGATACCTCTACTTTGCATACAGCTGCAGAGGTTCCCCCATCTACTTTTCCAGCCTCGGAAGTCCCTTGCCACGAATGGGGCACAGAGGACTGGGTTCCGACCCCGGCGCCTTCCTGGGAGGAAGAACCTTGGGCCTCCTCGGAGCCCTGGGTCCCCAGTGATATTACCCGGCACCTTGAGCGCTGGGACCCACGCCCGGATGCTACTACTTTGCAGACGGATTCCGAAGGTCCGGGTGAAACTTTGCCGTGCACCGTGGATGCGGATCCACCCTCCACCCCGCCGGCAACTGAGGTGTTTTCCACTGATGAGCCGCCCTCTTCTTTGCCTACACCTACCACGGAGGAGGCGGAGGACTTCAACTATGTGCCGTGGAACTTTTCGCAGCTTACGGAGGCAGAGTTGTGGCAGGCTACGGCATTCTTTGAAGATTGGATGGGGTACGATAGACAGCAGTGGTTGGAGTTTTGGCTTTCTTTGCGGGCATCCCAGGGGAGTTCAGATACTTTGCACCCGCCTCCAGATGGTGCAGCTGGCTCCACCTCGGCTACCCAGTCGGATCCTTTACCTTCCACGACTTCTACCGACTCGTCCCCTCCTTTACGATCGTCGGCTACTTCGGGGACTACCCCAGCACAGGACGGTAGTTCTTTACCGCAAAGCTCAGAACCCACGGACGGTGAGGGTACCAGACCTTTACCGCACAACCAGCGTGTGTTTCGAACTGCGTGGGGCGAGACACAGTTGATTCAACGGGCAACGGTATTTTGGTGCCGAGAAGGCTGCACAAACTGCTCAGGAGCAGGAACGTGCGGTGCTACTTTGCTTGACCCCACTCATGCACACGTCCATCGTTGCAGACTCTGTTATGGAGAATACCGTCGACGTCAGGGGCACAATACTTTTTGCAATGCGTATGGGCAGTAGCATCATACTTTACCGCCAGACGCGTCCTTTACGGTGCTTTTTCTGGCAGTAAAGTCCTTAATTGCGTCAATGCTGGGTTCCCACAGCTGCTACTTTACTTTAGCGTCATGCTTCCTTTAGGTACGCTTTGCTTAGCCTTGCACGGGCCTCCGGCCCTTTTTCCTTGCGTTTGGGACCCAGCAGCACGCGTCATCGACCTACTTTGCTCATCGAGAAAAGACTCGGCTTGCTCTGTTGCACCTTCGCACATGGTCATGCATAACGTCTGCCACCAGTGTGATTGCCAGGTCATGGATTCCTTATCCTCGAGATCTACGATGCAGCAGTTAGCCACAGCTTTGCAACTCTCGATTCCGGCATCTGCAGCCTCTCTCGGTGATTTGACTTTGCTTTCGTTTGGCCTCGGCACCGTGAACCTGGAAGGTCTCGATGCTTTCCTGGCTTCCAAAGGCTGGTCACCTGATGCAGATGAGCTCCCTGTTCTCAGGATGCTGTGGGTGCAGGCTCACAAGATATGCACTTTGCCGTCGGTGGCCTCAGATTCCTCTGCGAGTACTTTGCATACCTCGTGGGCGGAGACCTTTCCTCCCAAGCTCTCCTCTGAAACAACCTTGCAGTTGAAGCGGGATTTTGAGAAATCCTATCCATCCGAAGTTCTCGATGATACCAACTTTCCGAGTGCGCGTTTGCTTTCTCTCGCTTACAGGCTCAAAGGCGCGTCGGACTGGAAGTTCATTTCCTGGAAACATAGACTTTCCAAACAACAAGAAGAGGATTACAACTCGTCTCGGCCCAGAAAGTTGGCGAGATTTGAGAACTTTACCGACGTTCTTTACGACGACGTGCCCTCGCGCAACGTTGCGGAGAACATGGGATTATATGGGATCAGCAATTTACTTTCCATACATTCCAACGCACTCGCGCTTGCGGACATTGCTCATCTAGCTACTTTACGCTCCTATGAGCGTAAATTTTTGAAACATGTTCAGGCAAGAACAGACCCAACTTTGCGTCCGCCAAACGCACAGGAGTGCGAAGCAGCAGATCGTCGATGTTGGGAAGTCGTTGGCCAACTTCGGCAGGAAGGCTGGTCGGTGGATGATGCTTTACATGAGTTCACTGACGTTCGTGCCGAGCTGGTTGCTTTGCTTGCTCCCCGACTCGCTCCTTTCAAAGGCAAGAAAGGTGATGGCAAGGGTGGCAAGGAATCCTGGAAGGGCCTCGCCCTGCCGGGCTTGCCCGGCGGCGCTGTTTAGAGTAAACGTTTTGGGTGGGCGGGGCGGGATGTCTCTGTGGGTAGGAGGAGTTCCCTCGACTAGACCAACTCGAAGATCTCCGCAGTTTCAAAGAGAAAAGTTTTATCTAGCAGTTTTGAGTTTCTATTTTATTTCACGCATCGTGCGCTTTTCAGAATTGAGCCAGAAGCTGAGTGCGCGCACAATCTCAATGCTTATCATGGACGCAGAGCTCAGGCTCAGGAGCAGGGAAAATTTTGATTCTATGGGGCTAGCATTCACAAGCATCGTTGTGACGCATGACTGGGCAGCTTAGTTTCACGGTAGCTCCATACCTTAGGACTACGAAAGCGGTAGAAGGGTGGCCCTGCGGCCCATGGTCGGCCATGAGTGGCACAGGACTCGGATGGCCCGCTTTAGTGCCACCATACCGCAACCGCCTTGAAGAGTGGTTTAGCACGCCTGAGAAATTGTATGCCTCATTCGACACGAGGGAAGAGCTTGTATCATTGCTTAGGGCTTGCGATAACACGCTTCTTGAAAGTAGCCTGCAGTTGATTGCGGATGCACTTCTTGAATGGCATGCAGACAATGCCCGCACAGTTGCGAGTGGGCGCAGGGAAGCAAGGAGGCGCTTGACAGAGTGCTTGCCCAGTGTCCCGGGAACTGGCCTTAGCTTGCATGAGCATTACAATCAGATCGCACTTCAGAGTCCACTTGCGTTGCTTCCGGTTCTTCGCAAGCGGAAGTTAGCTACTGATAGGGTCGTAGATCGCGGTGCCAGGGCCACTGAAGAGATACGACTTCGGCAGGAGTATGCATTGCGTCTTGCAGCCATCATGCAGGAGGCGCAACTGCCGGTGTGCAAGGTGCTTGCAGGGGTCAGCAATGCCGAGGAAGCCTGGCCACGGCTGTTCGGGACCCGTCGATCCAAGACATTGAGGAATCGCTTTAGGGCTTGGGATAAGTTTCGGGAATGGTTGCTTTATAGCCGTGGCAGAAGTTATCCGGAAGGGGTAGCTGATGTGCTAGATTATGCCAATGAACGATTCCAGGAAGGATGTGGAAAGACAGTTCTCGAAAGCCTGCAAGCCTCTCTCAGTGTAATTGAAGGTGTAGGGCGCGTGCCGTCCACGCAGCAGATATCTCAGGATCCCACATGGCAGGCGCAGCTCAAAAGTTACACAGCCGATTTGGTTTCGGCGGCACCGCCGGAGCAGCCAGCCAGCATGCTCACCGTTGCTATCATCCTCGCATGTGAGATCTTCGTTTGCACGCCTGGGGAGCCTAGTTACTTGAGAGCATTGGGCTTTGTTTGCTTATTGATGGTTTGGGGATCGCTTCGGGCTGATGATGTTCAGGGGCTCCTGCCGCAGACCATGCTTCTGGACGAGCGAGGGCTTAGCATTGATCTCGCGCGGTCCAAGACTACAGGGCCCGACAAAAGGACCCACACCGTCAAGGTCTTCGTGGAACGGAGTATCTCTCTGACAGGGCATGATTGGCTGAAGGTCTGGATATGCACTTTGGAAGGATTTCGATTTTGAGAGGGATTATTTGGTTTTGAAGGCCAATGAAGGTTTCACGGAACCCCTTGAGAAGTCGGTGCCTTCCTCCACGGTGGCCCTTTACTTCCGCAAAGTTCTCAGTGAGTTGAAGACGCCCAAGCGTGAGGGACGCACCTGGAAGGCCAATGATCAGCGTCCGCTGCTCCCAGGATACACTTCCAGTCATTTTACGGGCCATTCTGCGAGGAACTTCCTTAGCTCGGTCGGGGCGGCCATCGATGTCGACCCCAGGGAGCTTGATTATCTGGGTCGCTGGAAGGTAGGTGGCGAAGGTTCTGCAACCTACATTCGCACTTCTAGGCAGGTTGTGCATCGTCTCCAGAGTCACATTGCTTGTTCTCTTGTCACCGGACAGCCTAAGCACTACATCGAGGTGGATTCCATCAAGGCTTTGACGGACTATGCAGCTAAGGCGGGGGAGAGCGAATCTCAGGTTCGTCGCCGTCACACCCTCCTCGAGGGATCCAAAGGCTTGGGCGGATCGTGGCCAACTCTGGCATTGGAAGTGGGTGTTGCGGCACCACCTTCTCCGGTCGAGCAGGTCTCGATGCCAGGCAGCCGGGGGGATTACTTCATCGTTACCTCTCGCACCACAGGCCTGAGGCGTTTGCACATGTTGGGCTGCTATGTCAAACCTGAGAATTGTTACGATGTAAAATTTGTCAATCATGTCGGCGCGGAGGACGTCGATAACATTTGCAAAGATTGCAAAGCAAGAATGAAGGCTCAGGCCGGAGAGGAGGAATCAGACCCCTCCAGCAGTGACAGTGGGAGCGAGTCGATGTGAAGGCAAAAGATGCTTTCGACTGCTGTGTATAGGCTGTGCCCTGCAAGTCCTAGCCAGAAGTTGGCATGAGTTGCTTATGCAAGGGCGCCTTGAAGTAGATCCACGATAACAGTCCATGCTGACTTTTGGGCCAGGGCGTCTTGAAGTGGATTCGCGATAACAGTTCATGCTGATTAAGTGCACGTGCTGGCGCTGTTCAAGCAGGAGGAAGTCTCACTCGGCGCAGGCCGTGAGGTGCCGACGGATTCTGCATCCTGTCACAGGCCTCAGGGCGACGGGTGGACACATCGCAGTGCAGCTAAAGGCCTCAGGGCGGCTAGCAATCCAAGTCCTACAGGGCCACAGGCCGGGGCGCGGCCTTCGCATCAGGGGTAGCTGGAGTTAGTTACTGTTGTCGCAATGGCCGCCACAGATGCCGAGAAGCGCGAGCTCATAACCAAAGCAGATAGCGACTTGCAGTTTGTGCTCGGAGAAGCTGGCTTGTCTCTGGATGCCCAGTATCGCATTGTGCAACGACATACAACACTTAGGCGATTCCAGGCAATCGCCGATTCCCGGCCGGAAGCTCGGGCTGCTGGGAAGGCGGACTTTGGTTTTGATGATGGGGCTGCTGAAGGGCGACAACAAATCGCGGGGGTCGTCGCTGCATGGGAACTTGCACGCGACGTAATCAGCAAAGAGACGGAAACGCGAGCAGAGGCGAAAGTGTTAGGCCAGCCGCGAATCTTGCAAGTCACAGAGAGGCAAGCAATGCTCAAGGCGGTAGCGGCCGTTCACGGGCAGCTGGGAGAGTCGGAGACTCCATCATCTGAGTACCTCGCTCTCAAGTGCGAGGAGTGCGAAGCCAATGAGCCCCAGGCTTCAACCTTGGATGCCATAACTTCGAAGAAGAACACGCTCACCACGAGCATCCAGTCCAGCCTTGACGCTTCGGGGCGAATTCATATTACTCAGCACAAATCCAAGAGTGAGCTCCCGACTACTACAGAAGCTTATCGCAAGGTCCTTCGCGTGGAAGCTTTCACATGGCTGTGCATGGCATCCCGCTTTAAATCCAAGCAGTGGCTTCAGGATCTCAAGCTGTCTGACTTCGACCACTTCGTGAACTACATCCTTGGCGAAAAGGTCGCGCAGCTCACAGTGCCTACTTCTCATCAGCCAGCCGATGTGCCTTCACTTTCGCCACCTTGGGAAGTAGTCTTGGCCTATGAGCACCGGTTGCGCAAGCAGGCTTTCCGTCTGGTCAATGATCAGGGTTATACTCTGGCAGGCGCTCTGGCTTCAGTCATTTCTTCAGCGGAGCTTAAGGAGACCTACTTCACGACGCCGCTCGCCTTGTCCATCATTGAGCGACCACGCAAGTGGCACAAAGGCAAGGGCAAGGGCAAGGACGGAGGCAAGACAGGAAAGGGCGGCAAGGGCAAAGACTCCAAGGGGGGCAAGAACGGCAAAAGCCCCTCGGACCCGGCACTTAAGGGCCTTCAGTTGGTTTGGCGCACGCCGGAAGGCCGCGACATCTGCTTTGCATTCAACTCGCAGGGCTGCACCAATCCTTCATGCGAACGCTTGCACGTGTGCCGGGTCAAGGGCTGTTATCAGCCCCACTCAGCGACCGAGCATAAGCTTAAGACCGGCAAGCCCAAGGAGTGACTATCGCATGATTCGGTTTCTACCATTGAGACATCAGATCACATCGCATACCAGCCTCAGCTGTACAGTCCGAGCGGGCTTCGTGTGCTCTACATTTTCGCGGGGCCCCATCGCAAAGGTGATGTGGGCTCTTACCTTCAGTCGTTGGGCAATGTCACTAATCTTCTTCAGTTCGATCTTCAGCGCTCCACGGAGCATGACTTGACTAAGGAAGGCTTGTGGCAGCACATCTTTCAATTGCTTGGCGAAGGGGATTGGATCCTCATTGCCTCTCCTCCTTGTGAGACATTTTCCAGAGTCCGGCATCGCCACCCCGGGCCAAAGCCACTACGTTCAGCATTTTATCCTAGAGGTTTTCCATGGTTAAGCAATTTGCACAAGCAGCAGGTGGAGCAGGCTAATTATTTTCTTGATCAGACCGTGACGGCATGTCAACTTGCATGGCAGTATGTCCTGGAGCACCCGGAGGATCTCGGCGCGACGCCGGATCACGAGTTACCGGCTTCCATTTGGCAACTACCAGCTCTGCGTGAGCTCCAGGTTTCCACTCAGGCCATCACTTTTGCATTCTTTCAATGCAGCTTTGAGGCTCCCACTTCCAAACCTACCCGCCTTCTCACTAATCTACAGGCCTTTGTCGAGCAGCCTCCGCCTTTTGCTTCATGGCCACGCTTCGACTCCAGCGATCGCTACGTGGGGCCGTTGCCGCCACGCTGCCCGCACGGGAAACACGACAAAGTACTTGCAGGCCGAGAAGGCTCCCGCTGGGCGACCGAGTCATCAGCAGCCTATCCTCCTCTGTTGTGTGAGTGGCTTGCGCATGCTGTGCTTGCTTCCGCTTCGCAGGGGGGACTTGGGTCAGCGCCGCACAGCTCCGTTCCAGGTGAGGCAGGTCCAATGCAGGAATCCCACGAGGCGACGCAGGAGGTGCATCAGGATTTGTGTGAAGTGCCGCAGGGGCTGCATCAGGTGGTTTCCGATAGGGTAGAGGCGGTTACAGATAGGGTAGAGGCGGTTGGCTTGATCGAGTCGGAAGCACCTCCTTCCACTTTGTTGCCGTCGCCAGACTCCTCGGGGCAACCGCAACCGAAGGCAGCACCTAGGGGGGTTAAGAAACACATTGAAGCCGAGGAGTTCGCACGCATCATTTCTTCATCGAGAGCCCCGACTCGGGCCGAGGTCCATGCTCTCTTCAAACTGCTGCCGCATGAGACTCCGCCTAGGTCGGCGGTGTCCTCTAACTGGGTTCCCAGCAGCTTTTCGACAGGCTTGTACCGGAAGGGTGGAGGCCTGATCGGGCTCAGGTCCGCGTGCAAAGGCTTCCCGGCTTCCACTGAAGCATTGGCATCCTTCGTGCGTAGCAACATGCCCGGGCACCCCTTTACCACGATTAGCCTTTACCTTAACACCGGCACCAAGCCCCACAAGGACTCCAGGAACGCACCTTTGCCCAATGGGATAATAGGGGTTACTGACTTCGTAGGAGGAGAGATCTGGGTCGAGGCCCAGGATGGGGAGTCTGTTCAGATTGTTGACGGTAAGCGCTTAAGTGGTCACCTTCTTCCGATCAGTGAGACACCCACCTACATACATGCTTACCGCGATCTTCACCTCACAATGCCCTGGAAAGGTAAGAGATTAGTCATCATAGCTTTCAGTGTATCGGAGCATACTCAGGCATGCGATGAGGATCTCGCGTTTCTTCGCGGGCATGGTTTCGTCCTTCCGGGCGAAGAGCACAGTGCTGATCTTGAGGCGGTCCAGTCAGATGATTCGGAGGTGCTGGAGGGGGGCGAGGTCGAAAGACCGGAGCCCTTCAAGCATCAGGAGTGCCACAACATCGGGCTGCCTTTGAACCTCGAGTGGGATGGCAAAACTCAGCCGATCACGGATGGCTTTGGACTCTGCTCACCCACTAGATGGCCTCCGGAAGCCAGGGGGGGCCTGCTGCCCAAGCAGGCTTTGGAGTTCGCCACTGCCATGCATCAAGTGCTTCGAGACTTTGTAGCGGACGTCGTGCCTGATATCAGGCGCACGGCGATGGAGCTTGCGCTAGGCCGCCTTAAGGAATCACCTTTCACTCCCGAGATGTTAAGGGTCCTTAGGAAGGAGTGGTTTAGTTGCATAGAGGCTGCTTCGGGAGGCAAGTGTACGGATCTTGATGTGGTGCCGAGTGGCCAGCCATTCTTCTTGCATGCTGTGTCTGCGACAGCGCGGCTGTTGCAGGACCCAGATTGGAAAGCCGTTTCTTGCCAGGAGGACTCCTATGTCAGCGGGGTCGCGATCGGTTATGACTGCCCCGCGCCTCACTTGCCACAGGTGTACGAGTACAAACACAAGTCCCGCAAGCTCGATGAATCGGATGTCGAGTGGCATCGCGAGAACTATTCGTCGGCAAACGAAACGTCGGATCAGCTTGAGAAGAAGTTTGCAGAGGAAGAGGCTCTTGGGCGCATGGCGCCTTCCACGTTGCCGGTTCTTGAGCAAAAGTACGGGCGGGATAGGGTTAGGATAGCTTCTTTAGGTTCCTTGATTAAACCAGACGGCTCCGCTCGGCCATTACACGATGGCACCCACGGTGTGCATGTCAACAATGGTATTAGGCTACTTAATCAGCAATCTAATCCCGGACCCCAGGAGGTAGTTCACCTTGTGCGTAGCGCAAAGCAAAGTCAGGAAGCCACCTTTTGCCTCACCGGCGATGTGACGGCGGCTCACAGGTTGTTCCTTGTCAGAGAGGCCGACTGGCCTTTGTTGTGCTGTAAGGTGCGCAACGACACGCCGGTCGTTTGGTACAACAAAGTAGGAACGTTCGGTATTTCATCATCCGCCTTCCTTTGGTCTAGATTGTTCGGAATCATCGGCCGCTGCACCGCGCGCTTTCTTTTGACCTTGTGGTTCTATCACCTCGTAGATGATGTTCACGCCAACTTCGCAGGAAGGGAGAAATTTCATCATTTGCTCATGTGGCTAGCATGCTTCGAGATGTTTGGCACACCTTTCGCATACAAGAAGTTCCGCGGTGGGCTCACTTCGGCTTTTGTGGGTTACGAACTTTCTTATCCAGACCAGAGGGTTGGAATTTCGGAATCGCGGGGCCAGTGGCTCTTGAAATGGATCGCTGAGGCTCGGTCCTCTAAGTTTGTTGTTTCGGTTCGCAGGTTTGCTGAGTTCTTAGGGAGACTGGGCTTCGTTGCTCGGCTTTTGGTTTGGCTTAAGGCACACCTTGCGCCGCTTTACAGCTGGAGGGCAGCGGTGAACGACAGTTCAGTCGCTCGGATGCCCGACACCGTCATCCTTACTCTTGAATATCTTGACCTCACGTTCAGGGACATGACGTTCAAGGTCGCCGCAGCAAGATCGGTCAAGAGAGCAGGCGTGGCCTTCCGCACTGATGCAAAGTGCGCGGACGGGTACGTGGTCCTTGGGGGTTGGGATTGCGCAGGCACAACTCAGGAGTCCAGATGGTTCTCACTTCGACTTACTCCCTCAGAGGCCCCTTACCTCTTTGACTCAGAAGGTCACAGTCAGTGGGCTTCGGCATCGGCTGAATTGCTGGCCACGCTGGCCGCACTGCACATCTTCGGTCACCTTGAAGCCGGGCCAACTAGGCGTTTGATGAAGGTTGAGGTTTTAGCTCAGACGGATAATAAGTCTAACGAGGGCTTGACTCGCAAGGGTTCTACAACGCGCTGGCCCTTGCTCATGGTGAACATGCAGCTCACCCATGTTCTCATGAAGGCCGGCTTGCGGTTGAACTTGGGATGGCGTCCACGGGACGAAAATCAGGAGGCCGATGATTTAACCAACGAAATCTTCGACCGTTTCTCTGAGGAGTTGCGGGTCCCAGTGCAGTACTCCGAATTGCCGCTTTCCTTTCTTCACACTCTTTACGAAGCCAGGCGTGCACAGCTGAGCAGCCGTGAAGTGGATTCCATCCGCGACACGGTCGGTGGCAGGCCACGCTTCAGAGGCAAGAGAAAGAGAGAGAAGTCTCCTTGGTGACGTGCCGGCCTGCGGAAGGGGGGGCACAGGCACACAGGTGCGCCTTCCCGACACGTCAAAGACCTGTTCAAGAATTAGATGCCTGCGTGAGCCTGCCGCCATCCGTTTGAAAACATCCTGCGTGCTCCTTTCGGCAGTTGCTATCTCTTTAGATATTCATCATTAAGTGGCGAGGATACATTTGATTGGAGTCCCAAGAGGCGAAAGCAAGATATGAGAATTTATACCCCATATATTCTCCGGGGATACCGTCGGTGCATTTATACCTTCGCCGATATTTCCGTTTGCCCAATATATCTTCTGGGCAATAAAATTTCTGATGAGGGAACTGAGTTTTGTAAACTTCGCTCACAGCGCCCTTCCTAAACACAACGGTTACGGAGAACAGGCGTTTTGGCTTGCAGTTAGCTCCAAGCGCTCCAAAACGGGCAACGGCTGGGTAGAGCCGGCTAAAACTGCTGTGCGTGGGAGGGGGCAGGCAATGGCTCCTTCCTCTGGTGGCGCGGCCACCTTTTCTTCTGATATGCGAAGGCGACTCAGAGCTATGACAGCTCAACTACACAAGGATGACAACGACGGCTTGAGTCTACCCCTCAGGCCTTGGGCTTGCGGGCCCTTAGCACCATGGAGCTGGTCTGGCCAGCAAGGCGAAGCTTCCCCTTTGGAAGCGAGGCACAATTTTTGGAATCACTGCCGCCTGGGAGGTGGCAACTGGGGTGCATCCGGGGCGCTTGGGGGCGCCAGTGATGCAAAAGTGGCAAGGGCCATTGGTCTTCTTGTGAGTTTCATTGTGGAGAAGCGACAGGCCTATCTCCTTGGTGCAAGGCAGGCTTTGCAGAGGTTGCTCGCCAAGGGCATCGGACCTAGCATGCTGTGGTCTCTTGAGGGCGAGTTTGGCATCCTGCCTTTGGAAGGTGAGCTCTGGCCGGCTGCTGCCTTTTGCAGCAACGAGGCCAGCAGAGCTCGTGACATGGCTTGGGGCAGCGAGGCTGCCTTTCGGGCCTGTGAAGCTGCTACTTCTGGCGGCGATGAAGCAATCAGTGCAGGTGCTGCTGCTGTGGGTGGCGGCAGAAATATCAGTGCAAGCGTTTCCTCTGTCACGAGCTGTGGTAAGGCAACTGCAGACGATTTTGCTGATGAGGGCGGTGATCCTGCCTACGAAACTCTTGCTTGTGGCTGTGAAGGGACAAGCTGTGTTTGCGATCTTGGCAGTGACAGTGCAGTAGGATCTGTGCCCCATAAAGAAATGACAAAGACCCGTCAAGGGCTAAAAAGTGCTGAAGCGGTCGGCCCCACCCCTGTGAAAAGCCGGTCGAAGGAAGAAAATGAAGAGCCTGAGAGGCCAATCCCGAGCCCTAACCCGCCACCGGCCCGTTCTGGGCCCCCCTCTGGTAGCCTCGACTGTTGCCATGGCAAGCGGCGAACTGGACTCGGCGGCCAGAGCTTCCTCAACTTCGGTGACGGCGTCGGGGGTCACTTTTGTTGGGAGGAGATGCAAGACGAAGGCAGCCACGGCATAGGAGCCAACTTTGCAGTTGGCCCTCAGGCTCCTCCTGCATGCGCTGGGGAGGCTGCTGGCGGCCAGTTGACCGAGCCCTTCCACATGAAGGGCAAGCACACCGGCACGTTCCTCGAGGACCCGGAGGGCGAGACCACTTGCGACGACGACACGAGAAGGCAACCTTCCCAATGTTGGTGCTGTGGCGCAACCGGCCGGCCTTATCCGAGGTGTGGTCGGGAACCTTCGAAAGAGAGCGAGAAATCCCACCAAGGACAGGTCAGGACCTCTGCTGCCCGCACGGATTTGCATGATGCCTCTTTTCTTGAAAGTGCCGAAGCTAGCCTGAGGTGCGGTCAAGATTGGTCGAAAGATCCTAGCATATCCCACCGAAGGATCGCTGAAGCTGATTGTGCCATCTTGCATGAATCCCAATCCGGCAATACCCAGTCCTCTCCTGCTCTGGCTCCCTCTGCTGCTGCAGGTCGAACGAGTGTGCGAGAGCCTGTGACATCCTCACGAGCGCCCTGCCGGTCTTCACTTCAAGGCTGGCTTCAGTGTTGCACCGCTTTCCTTGATCGCGGTCAGGCTGCTTTCGGTGGCTGTAACTCTGAGTTTCCCTTTGCGGCTTGTGACCCCAGCCGGGGCAACGGTCCGGATGGTAACATTGAAGCGCGACCCGGCGAGGCCAACCACCCAGGGCCGAGGTTCGATTGCAAGCGGCAGCTCCCAGCACTGAGGGCGTACACTAAGCCTCGAAAACGCTGCTGCCGAAGAGCGGCAGGTGCTTCGATCAGCGCCCGGTGCCGTGACTGCAAGCGGCCGCTCCCAGCACCGTGTGCTTATGTGAAGCCCCGCAAACGCTTCTGCAACCGTGGCGATGGCGCCCTGCAGGCGAGGGCTGGACATCAGCAACAACTGCTTTCTAATCAAGTGCCGCCGGTTCCCCTGGTTCCCTTTGGGTATAATCCCTTCCGGCCCCAGCCGAACTTTGAGCGCAACACATGCATGATATCCTCAGCCTCCTTGCTTGACCCGATTTTCAAGTGTTGGTGCTGTGGCGCAACCGGCCAACCTTGCCTGAGGTGTGGTCGAGACTCCTCGGAAGAGGGCGAGAAATCCTGCCAAGGGCGGGTTAGGACCACTGCTGCCCGCACGGATCCACAGAATGATCTCCTTCTCGAAAGTGCTGAAGCCAGCCCGAGGTGTGGTCAAGTTTGGTTGAAAGACCCTAGCATATCCCACCGAGGGTCAGCTACAACCACTAGTGCAACCCTGCATGCATCCCACTCCGGCAACACCCTGCTTTCCCCTGCCTTGGTCCTCGATGCTACTGCAGGTCAAGAGCGCTCGCAAGAGCCCGGCATATCCTCAGATGCATCCTGCCGAATTTCGTTCCGAGGCTGGCTCCTGCTGTGCCCCTCTCTTCTTGACTGCGGCAAGGTTTTCGCAGGTTGGTGCACCATTAGGTTCCCTTTTGAGGTTTGCACCCCCAGCCGGGATCAGTGCCATGACGACAAAACTGCAGAGAGAATCGGGGAAGCCAGACACCCGGGCCCGAGGTTCAGTCCCACAGGTGATTGCACTCTGAGCGCTCCCAGCCGGGAGTGGTGTCATGACGACAAGGTTGGTGCCCGAATTGGAGAGGCCAGCCACCCGGGGCCGGGTTTCGACTTGGGGGGTGGTTTCGCTGATGCACTCAAGCAACAAATCATGCAACTCGTGCAGGAGGCAGTGCAAAAGATCCTTGCTGATCTTAATCTGGGCTCCCTCCTGGGGGGTCAAGTGTCAGTGCCACTGGCAAACAGCCCTTTTGCTCCCTTGCTTCCGAATGCTGCAGGGACTGGCGACGGTTTTCCGCCCAGATCCCGCAGAAAGCGAAAAAGTAAGGGGCAACAACCCCTAGCAGAGCAGCCAGAGCCCAAAGGCAAGGCCAAAGGCAAAGGCAAGCACCAAGGCGAAGGTGATAAGACCCTGCACCCTCCTAAGCCCTCGACCGAGGCCCCTGCAAACCCCTCTCGAGGTAAAGGCATCGGCATCACACCGGAGGATGCCAAGGCTGGCTGGATCACTGTCGGCCCAAGAGCACGACCGAAACCCAATGAAGAATTCTGCTTAAGAGCACAAGATTGGAATCAGCCCCTCCTTGATCCCACAAAGTTCGCTGAAAAGCTTGAGGCGATCCCACAGGGTGAGAAACTGACAGGCGTGATCTTGTGCAACTCTGAGCAGGCTCAGCTTATCAAGGCCATGGCAGCTGGATGTACCAAGGCTTATTCCGTCACTCTGGTGTGCCTCGATCCTGCGGGAACCGCCCGGGTCCCAGGCCTCGTGAAGGATCAGCTGCAATTCCGCAAAGCCACCACGGGCTTCCTTCGTTCTGATCCGACAGATGCTGTCCCGGCACCTAAGGGTGCCAAGCCCACTTTTGCCGTTGTCCGCAAGCCCTCGGTGGTCCTGCATGCGAGGATCCCGAAAAGCTTTGCCACCGAAAAGCTTTGGGCTGCTGTTGCCAAGACACCCTCCCGTGTCATGATGCAGTGGATGGCAGACCACCATGTCAATGTGCTGGACGCCTGGGGCTGGAAGGAAGAACGCCTCGCTAAGGACCTCCCCAGTAAGCCCAATATAGCTTAAATACAAACATGGCTTAAATAAGCCATGCTGGTTTAAAACAGAAACGCATATTTAAGAAAGACGTGTCTTGCTTAATTAAGAAAGACAAAACATTGTTTAAAATATGGTGGCACATGGTAATGCAATCGTTTATACCCATTAAACAAAAAACATCATTGACAATATCATACACACACAACACATGCACACAACACACACACACAGAACACACACACACACACACAACACACACAACACACACAACACACACACAACACACACACAACACACAACACACACAACACACACAACACACACACACACACACAACACACACAACACACACACACACACAACACAACACAACACACAACACACAACACACAAACACAACACAACACACAACACACAACACACAACACACAACACACAACACACAAACACAACACAACACACAACACACACACACAACACACAACACACACAACACACACAACACACACAACACACACACACACACAACACACACAACACACACACACACACACACACACACAACACACACACAACACAACACAACACACAACACACAAACACAACACAACACACAACACACAAACACAACACAACACACAACACACAACACACAACACACAACACACAACACACATACACAACACAACACACAACACACACAACACACAACACACACACAACACAACACAACACAACACAACACAACACAACACAACACAACACAACACAACACACACAACACACAACACACAACACACAACACACAACACAACACACACAACACACACAACACACACAACACACACACACACACACACAACACACACAAAACACACAACACACACAACACACACAACACACAACACATAACACACACCACACACCACATATATATATATATGCCTGCATGCATGAAAAATAGTAAATAATATATGATATAGTTATAGACAGAAAATAATTAGAGTACATGCATGATTCGGTTCCATGATCCAGATCGACCGAACACACATCGACACTGCAATGCTCATGCACTGCATGCACTCGAAGCATCGGCCAGCAGCATGATAATGGCATGCTCCATATACATTGGATTCGCGAATCCATGGTCCCTCGAGCATGCAAACACGAGCATTGCAATATATCGCTTTGAGCATTGATGCCTTGGATCTCATGCATGACGTGCAATAGCAATAGTGCATGATAGGCATGAATATAAAAAAAAACAATAGGCATGCATCATGTGTCTGTGTGCATGTATACATGTACATGTATATGCATGCATGCATGCACGACAACAGAAACATATGTATATACAATATATATATATATATATATGCATGCGTGGAAGAAAACGAACCAAACACATGCATGTATACACCTTAATTATACCAAAACAAAGCTTCGAGCCGCAAATTTTTTTCATCTCACTGGCGATCGATCATGCCACGACCGGGACCTGATTATTTGCATAAAACATGTCCAGCACCATACCGGAAATTGCATGGGCTGTGTTGGCGCCACCCCGGCGGGTGGCTATGTGAGACAAAGTGCCGCCGAAATCCTCGTCGCGGTAAACCCAAAATCGAGCAGGGGAATCTCTGGACTCCTCACACAAGTGTTGCCAGATGTGCATCTTGGGCTTAAACCTCCATCTGCAATCATCCTGGCACCGGCTTTCTAAAGCACAGTAGATCACAAGGAACTTCCTGCATGCTACGGCGAGCTTCTCTTGTTGAAAATTGGCTTCGCTCAAGCATGCATAGCACTGTGCCAAGTAGCGACCTGCATGTGCGATTGCTGCATGCTCCGGATTTTCAGGGTTCAAAAAATCACGGCAAGCTGGTGCGATCCACGAAACCAGTGCTCGGCACTCGCCGGCTTTCGCTTTCAGTTTGGGGCTCTTGCTGCTCTTGGCTCTAATCATGCCTATGGTGAGATTGTCAAGCCTGCTTTCAGCAGCGGTCTCAGCATAGTAGGCTTGAATATGAGCAAACATCGTAGAGAGCTTATCCTTTTCGGATCCCGGCAGTGTGCTGTAAATGGCAAACATGAGATTTCCCATGAAATCTGCGCACACGCCCTGGTCACAGGAATGTAGCCAGTCGATGGTAAAGATGGAGGACTTAAAGCCTGGTGCTGCAAAAAGCGGTGGCATGCTACCGTGCTTTTCGTGCAATCTAGCGAGGATCTCCCAATGAGTCATGGGCAATTGCCTCCAGCGGGCATCCAACGAACAGTCACGAAAATCGATGTCCGTTTTGTTGGCTCGGCACCGAAAGCAACAGGCTTCCTTTTCGGCCCACCCGGGCAACCGAAAGGTGCTCTTGTATGCAGCCCAATCGCCACGAACCTCACATAGCACTGCTTTGCATGCCAGTGGTTTCCCTGCTAGCTTGCCCCGCTTACCTTGCAATTCTTCGCCATCAGGACCATACTTAGGGAAGAAGCCTTCAGCTAGCGACCCTAGGGACCATGCAACTACCTTCATAATTGCATCCATGGTCGACCCATCCTTGACCATGTGGCTTTTGTACAAAGCCGCTACCGGTAGCCTCAAAGTGCCGATGTCACCACTCAGGTGTGGAAAGCTCACAGTGACCACCTCCAAGGACTCCGACCGATCATACTTGACAGGAACCCCATCAAGCCACAAAGCCAGGGGCAGGACTTGTTCACCTGCTAGCCCGAGTTCGGTTTTTGCTGCATTCATGTGATCTGCACACTCTCGCCGAAGGTTCTCGAAACTAAAGAACTCAGCATATTCTTTGTTCCAATGGGCCACACTATGCACGACCTCATGGGGGAGCATGATCTTGACTTTGCCTTCACCTGCCGTGCATTGCTTCTTGTTCCACACTGGTATCGTGAATTCCATGGCCGATTTCCATTTTTTACCTTTCTTCAACTTTCGGAGCAAGTCTCGATGTACATGGCTGGTGTCCCCCACACCGGCTAAATCTCCAACACCAGCTGCACCACTGGCATCGGCATCCTCGAAAATCGTTCGGGCTCGTTTCGCCGGAACGGCTCCCGACAAGAATAGATCTCCGACATTGTCACGAAAGCGCCTGGGAGCATCACGATTGGCACGACTGGAAGCTTCGGCGGGTGAAACTGACGGTTTGGAGAACATTGCGTGCAAAAGTCTAGAGTCTAGTACTTGTCAAATAATACATACATGCATGCACCTTTTATGCCGAACAACATAAGCTGGAGTTAGCATGAACCGAACGATCATATATCATGTAGATATAGGTATAGATTCTATATGCATGGATGCGATAGTTGTACAATCAGCTTAATCATGCATATATGCATCGAATTTCGATTGGCTCCCCAGGGGAGCCCAACGATCGATGTGTGCGGTGGGCCTGAGCCGAACCTGAATACATGCACAGCACTTGAACATGAAAGCTTGCACTGCAGTCGATTGCAGTCGATCCGGAATTGATGCATGCAGCCACTCGCAATGCATCCACTAATTTTGGATTTGTCGCACGACGATCTTCGTCAGCTGCTCCTGCATGCATCGCAATGCCGACGGATCCGAGCTTGGCACACCACACACACACAACGGCTGCAAGCAGCAAGCAGTCCTCACATGGATATAGCCACCAGCTGGCTTTATAGCACCTGCAAAGATCTAGGGTATGCCAATGCATGCATGCATGCCCCTGCACATATGCGGTTAAGGAGCAGGCCTAACAGGAAGCACATATGTTGAAGCACATGTTGCAACAAACTGCACAAACACATGCCCACAGCATGCATGCACACATTTTGCTGCAAGCGGCGATCGGATCCCAGCTAGCAGGGATCGAGATGTGTGTTCGCAAAACCCGGCTTTTGCTGCATGCATGAGCCACATGCTGGACGGATAGCAGCTAGCCGATTCCGTGCCGATCTCAAAATGCACGGGGCGATTGATAAATGATCGGTCTTACATCTAGAATCTACGTGAGTGCTTTCATCCCTGTCTTCATGCTCTTGGCTCCCTCGATGTGAATGACCATATGATCACCCATTTCCGTCCACTCCTGCAAAGCCGTAGCACATGTGGTGTCATCCGAAGAATCGATCTTGGTCACGACCGGGTGCTTGGAACGAATGTTGCCCACGAAATCCTCGAGGACCTTAAGCTTTTTCGAAAACTCTTTGCTGATGTCTGCGAGCTTGGGGTTGCTCTGCAGCTCCGCCAAAAGATCCTTTAGGCCCGTGATCTCCTTGTCGAGGCGGTTCTTGCCCTGCAACACAGCCTTGACCTTGTTCTGCAAGTCGATATAGCTGGTGTGCTCGATCTTAACCTGTGACGAGAATGAGCTTTCGAGCATTTTGGAGCAATTATCAATCTTCAAGGCATTCGTGCTCACCTGCAGCTGCCTGGTGTGTGTGCTGTTCTCGATTTCCTTGGTTGCTTGCCGGAATTCATAGTAGAATTTCTTCAGCTGCTGGTACTTGCTGTCCTGAACCAAAGCGGGGTCCTTGGGGTCTAGCTGGGCCTCTTTGTAGAATTCCTCCAAGAGGTCCTGGGTCATCGCATCCACAATGCCGGCATCCGTTGCCTCCTTAAAGTCCACACCATTCAACTCCAGGATTTGCTTGCGGGTCATATAGCCCTTGAGCTTCTCGGACTGTTCTACCTCAGCATGAACCGACGACTCCAAATACTCATTCGCCCAACCCAAGTTCTTCGCTCCGCCTTCATCCACATAGCGTTTGACGAGGGATTTCTTCTCATCGGCCGGGATAGAATGATATTTCTACAGGGCAGGAGAATGCATGCTAGAACTCATGAAAGCATGCTAAAACAACACACCCCAAACCCCAACCGCTAAACCCATCCCACCCCAAAACCCGCAGCCTCGAGAAGCCGCTGAGCCAGGGTGCCCTCCGTTTTGGAGTTCTCTCGCTTGTACTTCAAGCCCGTCAAGAAGCTGCACACCATTCCCTTTGTACACTTGTTGGGATCTTCGGGTTCGCTTGGTTGACGTGAGAGGGCTCGCTTCTTCGGATCCGGCTTGGCCTTTCCAGCTGCCGCTTTGCCTTTGGCTGCCGTTTTGGCTGCTGTCTTCTTGGGTGGCATGATCGATAGCTAAATATCAGGCAACCAATCGAAGCGAGACAAGGACCGCTGGCTGTTGAAGCAACAGCACTCACGAAAAACTTTCAGCCCCAATGGCACGTGCACTGCGAGCTTTGACTCCCCGGGGGAGTCGATCAATCATGCTAGGATACCACAACACAACAGAACGAATGCAATAAGCCTAAGTATGCAGCTGCAGAACGAAACGAAGTGGAAGTGTGCTAGCGACAGCCACAGGCCTGTCCAGAGGAGCAGCCGCCTGGCAACAGAGCAAGACACAAGTAGAGTAAGTGCACATATACATGCATGTGCAACTCACATGCACACTCTGAGCAGTCCATGGTGCACAGCAGCAGGTTAAAAAGTAGCTAAAAAAATATATTTTTTAACTACTTTTTTAACCTCTGTTCCTCTTATAATCTAATTAAGAACTAGGGTTAAAAAAGGGGTTAAAAAACGTTGTTTTTTAACCCCTTTTTAACCCTTGCTTTCCCCGAAAGCTTGTTGCGATGCCTCGTCAAGAAGGCAACCAAAAGCGCCACCGACCTCATGTGAATCAACATGTGGGTCTGTGACAGGACACAATGCACGGCTTCAGATCCTGCATACTGATAACCTACGATCACAACATGTTTTCTGAACTCCCCAGGGGAGCTGCTTAAAGTCTTGTGCACAGACAATCGCACCGAGCCCGGCACACATCATGTGGCTTCGATCCGTGATCCTGCAGGCAGCACAATTCCATAGGATCCATGCATGGCACTGCAAACCACAGCAATCCCCTGCAGAACGAGTGCACGGTTTTGCACCACTCACTGCCGGCAAAGCACGAGCACGACAAAGCATGCACTCGATCGCTAAGTTCGGAATTTTAGGTCCAGGCTTCTGGGGTTTGGGATTTAAGGTGAGGGGTCTAGCTAGGGCTTGGGGCTTAAGGTTTAGGGTTCGGGTTTAAGGCCTTCGGGTTTAAGGGTTTAGGGTTTCGGGTTTAAGGGTTGAGGGTTTCGGGTTTAAGGGTTGAAAGGGTTTGTTAGGATTCGGGGTTCAAGGTCCAAGGTTTGTTGTTAATATAAGCCTAAGCTAGCAGCATGCATGCATCGATCGTGCAAGTGCATGCCCGAGTGGCATTCGAATGCCACGACGGCGAGCACTATGCTCGCAAAATGTGGCTGCCTTTCGCCACGACGGCGAGCACTAAGCTCACAAAATGTGGCGGCCCCGGCCCGGGAATTAAGCATGTGCATTATGAAGCCCAGCATGTGTATGATATATATATATATATATACTACGTATTGTACATGCGTGATGACCAAATGTGCTAGCTTAATTCTGCATACACACATATGCATACATACATATATATATATATATATATGTGTGTGCATATATATATATGTGTGTGTGTGCATGCATATATATGTATATATGTACATATATACATGCCAGTAAGTTGCATGCATCTTATATATATATATTCTATAAAGGTATGCAATGCATAGTAGTTGTTACTATGTATATCAGTATATGTTATATACACTATATGTATGCTGTCTGTTAATCTGTTCGTATAAGTACATTTATCTATTGAACAAATGTAGCATGCATTTGTAGTACTGTCAAAACTAGCATGTATGCAATGTTATATACGTGCACAATAAAGTTTATGTTGCCTAGTCTCTGAATATGTCTATAGTGAGTGTGTATAATATATATATATATATATACATATATATGTATATAGCTTTTCTATTTAAACTATATTACATGCATGATATAGCATGTTGCACATGCAAAACCAAGTCAAGTTACTTTAAACCATGGCACACCAGCTAGCTGCACCTACGGTCCCGGCCGGGACTTGGCCTGAGCCTCAACCCTAGCATCCCTTGCAAAGCTGTCAGGCTCATCTGTTCCGAGCCATTGCCCACTGGCCTTCAAGTCTTCCATTCGTTGCCACAGTCGCAACATACGTGTATGGCCTTTGGATTTGCCGGACTTCTTCGAAGACTTAATGGCATGTTGCATCGTGGTCCAGCTCTGCCACTCAAGCTTGGAATACCCCTCCCAAACCAAATAATCGGCATCGGACTCCAAAAAAGCATTCCAAGACATTGTACCCGACACCTCCACCGTCTCATCATCGTCATCTCCTGCAAACCCAGGTGGAGGATGGTCAGGCTCCCTCGGCTCAGGGCGAGAACTCGAGCTCGGCTCCTCAATAGGAGTACTGGCACCGGCACCATGGGATCCCGACTCCTCTGCAGGAGCCTCTGCATCATCTTCAGCAATAGGATTCCCATTCGGTCCCACATACATGTACTCGTACCGGCTCCCCTCGGGACCACTCACCCTGAACAGCTCCATCTTGCGACCATCGGCAGGTTTCTTAACCTTTTTGGTCGCTGGGCCCGGCTTCACCTTCTTCAAAACTTTCATCACACCATCCTCATTTCTCAGCCAGGTTTTCGGAGCCATCGTGGTGCATGCACGTGTGCGAGGGTTCAGGATGCTAAGTTACAATGCCACTGGTTTTCAATTAGGGCAGGGTATATAGCTATATATGGGATATAGAGCTAGTGTGCAAAGCTAAGTTAAGGCCGGGAATTATAATTTAAGTTATACATGGATCATGCATTAGAAATGCAATGGTTGGCTTAAGCTTTGCAACTCCTGAGCGCTAGGGCTTGGGATCGGTAGCATCGACGATCGAAACACCCGCAATTATAACACTAGGTATACATATACATACATGTATATATATATGTATACACATAGTGTAATATATAAGTGTATATATACACCATATATATATATATATATGTATATACATCTTATAAAAATGATACCATATAAATCCGATCCTTATGCATTGCCTTATAAGTAGGCTCAACGAAAATAGGCCTCTAACGGGCTGCGGTATATGCACTCGAACCATGGGCTCATGCGAACATGCACTGCACTCCATCGCGGATTAATGCTCACATCGGTCGCTCGATCAATTGCAATTATAAGCCCGGCCAGTCCTTCACCAGCCATCGCCAAAGCACCAG